TTGCCACACACAGCTTTGCCAATTTAGCTTCATCTTTGTTTAGCAAATGATAAATCTGTTGTATGTTTTTGAACACTGGAAGTTAAATTTGAATATTTGTACCTGGCAAAGAGCAGATAATTTTTTGTAAGTCTTTACAGTTTCAATACCGTTTCTAAAAGGAAATCTACTGTAAGTGAGATAAAATGACCTAAATCATGTGCAACAATGCAGGTAATTGTCCTTAAAATCCCCAAGAAAATTTGGATGGATTACCTTTGAAATCCTTGAATATTAGTCTTTCTGTAGCATCATCATATTTGTCAAAGCAGGAAGCAGCTTATGCAAATGCTTCTTTAGATCTTGAAACATTCAGAGAGCAGCTTCAGTGAGCAGAGTAATTGTCAAGATGTCAACTAGAGAATATAATTCAGTTCATGTGTTTGCAGAGAAAGCTTGGCATTTATCACGTTCATGTGGCTGCAGCAGCACACACACAGAGGATTGTGGCTCTCTGAGGCGTACAGCTCGTATGTCGCTGCAGCGAAGCGTGAAAACACAACAAGAGCTTGTGTAGGTGCAAGCCCATTAAGTGTGTACATGTAGATCGAGTTAAGGTGGAGAAACAGGGAGAAATATGCAGGAAAATATGCAAGATGGTGCACTTGAGTAAACCTGGCAGAGTGAAGCGGAAAGCCGTCCTGCTGTTTGAGGTTTTATCTGGATGAATCATCTCAGCTGCTGAGACTTAATCAAGCGTAAAATACATACCATCACAGATCAGATGGTGGAGCTGGTTACACGAACTTCTCTATGCTTGACTCTCTCGTCTGACCCTCCTCTTCATACTTCTCCCAGTTTTCACCCTCAGACTCTGAGTGTGGCGGAATCTTAACAGTCGGCTGGTTCAGAATAAATCTCTCAATATCTGCTGGCTTTTGCACATTAAGCTCATAGGTCATACTCTTCTTCCTCATTGAGAGGGCTATAATATAAAACAGTGTAACACTACAGTACTGCTGCTATGAGGTTGCAGTTATGGTTTAATACTGTCACAAATATTCTTCTGGAAGCTGCTGGTGCAGCTGTAGGTGGTTTAAAGAGACACATGACCTCTATTAGAGGGGCCATTGTAGCTGATGTTTCATCCTACAAAGAAATACGTTGTTTCTTGTTAAAGTAGAGAGAATGTATTAATGAGAACATCCAGATAATTAGAACTCTGCCTCTTATGAGTACCTCTGCAACTCATGGTTTAGCACTGTGTTCTTGTGAGCTCTGACAGTTCGGTCAACAGGAAAAATGTCTCATTGATGGTGATTAGAGTGATGCAGAGACATTAATGCTATAACACAACAATAAAAAGATTTTTATCCATTAATGAACTCATATTTATGATCAACCAAAAATCTCTTGTAAATCACAGTGCCTAAGTGCTGCCTAAGGTCTGCTGAATATAATGAAGATGAGTGGCAAGCAGGTACGGACCTGATCAACTCCACATTCACTTGCAACAGATGAGTGGAGATCCAGTAGTTCACAGGCTGGATAGTATTTCTGGTATTTTACACAAAATAAGTCGCTCCAACTGTCCACTTTCCATTAAATGCCACTCTGAAAAAGGACTTTGGCGGCTTTTAGGAATGTAAGCTTATTTCTAGGTAAATAAGTGGAATATTTAACACCAAAATAAAAGACCTTAGAGTTTTCCTTCTAGGTATTAAATGATGTTTTCAAAAAGTCATTTTCAAAACGTTTTGAGAAACCTCCTTTTTAGCACAAAGTTTCTCTGACTGGAAGGCACTTCATTTACAGGCCAAGCAATGTAATATGTCATATAATTTGCTATATTGGGTTGCTGGCACCCATGAAAATGGACAGGAATACTTTTTGTTTCAAACACCGGATTTTGTTTAACTTTGCTGTTCCTGGGATTTATTTGTATTTATTGCATATGTTTCAGAACTATTTTAATTTTATCTCTTTTAATAGACTTGCATTTTTTTACATTGATACATGTATTCTATGAGATACTGCAGGAGTTGGGAACTACCAGGTCATGTGGTGGTATTTAGGAGAGTTGATATGAACCTTTGAACAATTGCTGCTATTAATGTTTACAGAAGTCTGGGTACTTAAATAACCATGTACAGATAAACAGATTATCAGCTTCTTATCAAACATTCCTTTAGAAAGTGATTAAAGTCTGGCTTCAGGTGATCATATATTTCTATAAACTTGGAACTCACTAACCCACCCTTACAAGCATTCATACAGTTTTGGATCAGTTGAACCACAGGTTTCCACTCAGAGAAATACTTTTCATACTTTCAGACTTTCCAGACCAATAACGGGTTGGTTTGTCAACTGTCTTCTCAGAAGAGAAGAAGGCAGAAGGGAAAGGATTAAATAATTCCTCACCAGGATAAAGAAGCAGTTTAGGGGTCATTTTTATCCCCGGGAAATAAATTATGAATGTTTTATAGTGGAAAAGACTGGGAGGCATGGATTCATCTACAGACAGGAAAAAATAGGTTTAAAAATAATACAGTTCTATTTGAAATATGCCTCATAACTCACAGCTTTACTTTAGAAATAAGACATTTATTCCAACCAAATAAAATTGACTTGAATCCCATCACACAACCATTCACTGCCTTGTAGTTGACAACATGAAAGCAGCAGCTTATGTCCTAAGAACCAATGTTGCTAGCTTACTGTCACTAAGACATTATCTGTTTTTATTTCTTGGGTTGATTCCTAAAGTTAGGACCAAAAAACCAAGCAATTTTTTGCCCCAACAAGGTGGTTCCCAAAGAGCTATTTGCTTAGAATTGTAATAACAAGGATGTTACTCTGATAAAATAACATTTTCCAAAGAAAACAAATATGTAATTCAAAATAATTCTCTGCTTTAGATCAGTGGATTGTTTCATGTATATATGAATAACATGTAGAAGATCATGGCAGTTCTCCTGTTGAAGGAGCTCTCCTGATCCATAAACAACCTGAACCTAAACCAGGCTCACCAGTGACTTTTCTTAGTTTACTTCACAGAAACCAGCTGAAAGGAAAAGCTGCTGGAGTTCCTTTACTGCTTTTATGGCTTTGCCACTGAGCGTGTTTTGACAAGGAGCGTTTCAGTGTGATCCGCTGGATGCTCAGCTTCAGACGAGAGGACTCTTCAGGAAGGAAAAAAATACAGCTGAGAGAAAATCACTAGCTGCCCTCTGGCATCCCTGGAAGGTGGGGATGCCACTCCTTAGATGTGCACATTAAAAACATTCTCACCATCTTCTCTCACCCTCACTATGACCTTCTCCACCTTCCACCCTCTGGCAAGTGCTGCAGGTCACCAAATGCCTTCCTTTGAGTCATCACACTGAGCAGTAAGAACAAACCTCAACTCTGAGTCTGCCCTTTCTCTATTTCTTAGTACTGAATTGTTTCTTACTCTTATTGTTTATTTTAAAAATGTAACCAGACATTTACATACACTGTAATAATTTAAATAAAAAATTTTTCTCACAGTCTGACAAAATGTTTCCTGTTTTAGGTCAGTTAGGATTCCCAATATATATATATTTTTTTGCCAAATGCAAGAATAATGAAAGAGAATTTTTAAATTACTTTCTTTGAATTCAGACATTTACATAAATGTTTTTGGTTCAGTTGCCCTTTAAACTGTATGACTTGGGTTTTGGTATCCTTCTACAACCTTATCACTTCCTCCTGATAGAACTAAGTCAGGTTTCTAGGCCAGTTCGCATTGTTGGGACCCCAGCCATGGGTTACAACATTAAAGGCCAGTAAGAACTTTTCTGGAACTTTCAAAATAATTCGCATTATCCTACATCCTGCACAGCCAGGAACAGAAGTAACAGCGGAATTCCCGCGACGTCACTGTTTGAATAAAAACCCTGCTTTGCAACAAACTGACCTCTTCCACGCAGGTCCCCAGCGGAACTTGAAGGAGACACAGTTCGTTTGTCTTTGCTGGCAAACAAACAGACATAACTTTTCAAACTGGATCCAAGAGTGTCATACGATCACGCGATCATATGCACTAAGTTAAGTAGGAATAAATTGCTGTTTGTGTATCTGGTATTCATTCATGAATGGGGGTAATTAAGGTACAAGCGTTGCTTGACTTTCTCTCTGAGGTCTACAGAAGCAAACTGTGTTCCAGAGAGTTCCCAGCAGAGACCCTGTCTCTACAATGAGTGGAGCAGTTTTTCCCGGTCTGAAGGAAGGACAATGGGACCGCATTACTGTAGCTACAGCAGTAACGTCCCCCCACACACATGTAAGTTAGCTGCAAGTTAATACTTTGTTCACTGTGGATGCTTTCCTCAACTTCGGCACCCCGGGCAACTTTTCGTCAGCACAGTTCACATAACATGTCGTGTTTTGGGCAGAGAGAAGTAGTTTAGGATGAGCTAATCTAAACAAGATTTGTTTCATGATGTTTAGTTTTGTTTGTGTTGAGAACTCAGCCATCTTAGTGCTAGCAGATTAGCTGCTCAGCACATGTGCTCAGTGTATGTGTTCTGTGTTTGTGTTTGTAAAGTTAAGACAAACTTTATTTAAAGGGTTATTTTAAACACAGAAGATCGGTCATAACACACTGTCCACGCCTATGCATTTTAACCCTTTTTCTAGAGGCCTTTTAAAGGTATGTGTTTGATTCTGATGATAAGCTATAAGCTTCTTTTGTTAGTCCCAACCGCTAATAGCTAAGAACACGTGCTTGGCACCGAGGGTTGCTCCCCCGTAGCAGTCCTTCAGCAGAGCCCACGCAACCAGGACCTTAGGCCGGTTGGGTGACGGTATGTAGAAAGCATAGTCCTAGATCCCAGCCCACGGGTCATCACCAACCCGTATGCGTTTCGACAGATTTTCCCCGCTCAGTGATACACATGTATAAATCATATAAATGATGATTGTTTATTTTTAGCAATGTACAAAACATTGCTAAAAATACATCAAACCCAAACATACAGCCAAAGTCACTAAGAGAAGCGGCTGTGGCTCAGTAGGAAGAGTAGTCGTCTTGCAATCAGAAGGTTGTGGGTTCAATTCCTCCTGCCATATGTCAATGTGCCCCTGGGGAAGGCACTTAACCTCAAGTTGTCTACCAATGTGTGAGTGTTAGTGTTGGGTTAATGTGGCTAATGTGTAGAGTGGTTGGTATGACTGGAAAGGTGCTACATAAGTTCAGTCCATTTAACTATCTTCAGTGTACAGAAGAGCTGGAAGTGATGGTTGCAACATCATGGAGTGTGTCTGGGATTACATGAAGAGACAGAAGGATGAGAGAAAGCCTACATCCACAGAAGATCTGTAGTTAGTTCTTCAAGATGTTTGAAACAACCTACCAGCTGAGTTCCTTCAAAAACTGCATGCCTTGGCCTATGTCCCTAGAAGAATTGATGCTGTTTTAAAGGCAAAGGGTGGTCCCACCAAATATTGATTTTAGATTTCTCTTTTGTTCATTCACTGCATTTTGTTGACTGATGAAAATAAATGATTAACACTTCCATTTTTAAAGCATTCTTTGTTGACAGCCTTTTTCCACACCTGCCTAAAACTTTTGCACAGTACTGTAGTTATAATCTTGTGAAGCACAGTGGTGTGGTGGTTAACACTGCCATTGCTTAGTGTTCTCCCCATGCATGCACGGATACACTTATTTCCTCCTACAGTCCAAAACCTTGCATGTTGGGTTACTTGGAGTTTCCAAATTGCCCTGCAATGTGCAAGGACAGTAGTGTATATGAAAATGTGTAGTTCTCTGTCCCTGTGTGTTGGTTGTTTAATGGACCGATGCCCTTTCCAGTTTGTATGTGGAGATGGGCATCTGCCTGGCTTCATTATAAGAAGAACCTAGAGAAAAAGACACCATTTCATTGTCTTTGTGTTGTGTTTTAAATAAAGCATTTAATTGTATTTGGAAAACAAAACATTTGATCAGCTTGTGAGAAGCCAATCTAGTTAAGCTTCATATTAGGTTTAACCTGCCAAACAATAAAGGCGATTGAAAAACTGGATAATCAGCAGCCTGACCTGCAGATGATGCTGATCCTGTCTGCAAAATGACCCTTAAAGAAAAAAAAAAGCTAATTAGCTTCTGTCTAATTGTCGGTTGTTACAATTATTACCATAGACATTAAAAGACTGGTGCAAATCTTGACCCACCAAACACGCTCCTGCATGACAGCATTATTACAGAACATCTGCATAAAAGCAGCTTTTAACTAATCAAGTGTTTTTAGCCCAAACAGAGAACCGAGAGCATGAAGCATCTCTTCACAGCCCCATCGTCCTTTTAACCATTAATAAAGAGATACTGGCCAACTTTCAGATACTCTTCCGCCTTGATTATGCATGATCACAGGGTGCGGACGGCATCTAAAGTGGTACCCCCTCCTGTGCTGCGCCCGTTTCAAACCATGGTTGCCATGGAAACTCTTTTAGTATATGAGGCTGCCTGATTTCAGTGCATGGCGTGTGAGATGACTTTATGCCTGAGGACATTGTGTGTCTGAAGAGCTTTTAGCAAAAAGACAACACCTGAATTTAGTTCTTCCTGTTCGGAATGGCGATAAAAACATGATGGATCAGTGGCTTTCTGTAAATGAGATTTGGTTTCATGCTCATGCATGATCATACATTAGGCACAACATTCAGTTGTGCCTAATGTGTAAAGGTAATTATCTCCTCCATGCAGGCTCCTGCTGAACAACATTTACCTAAAATAGCTTATTTTTATGTTCACATGAAGACCTTAAGGTTCTCTTATGAAACCAGTGCCTGAACTGGGACAGTGTTCACTGCTGTGGACCACTGCTGGGTGTAATTCCTGCAGATATGAGTGACTGTCAGATGGGAGCTGGTTTCACAGTGTTTTAATTAGGACATGTTGCGTCCAGGACATGTGCTCATGTGACCATCGTTTGTAAATCTTTGATTTCAGCAGAACAGCTGACTGAGGAAAAAAAATCAAATCTACTTCAGAATTATTCAGTCACTTGTGAGTTGTATCCAAGAATGTGCAAAAGCAAACAGATTGGCCTGACATATTAATGGTCTTATACAAAGTGCAGGCATGTGAGGGTCATTTCTAATGTATTGAGTCATGAAGGAATGCGGATGCAGCTACAACAGCATCTGACTTGACTCTCTGATTAGACAGACTCATGTTCTGAATATTTCATGAAATCATACAATGAAAAGCAGGAAGGGGAATCTTCTGAGACTAGATCAGACCAGCTCACACAACATGTAAGCACGGTGACAGCAGCAGAGCAACAATTATGTGGAGCAAAAACAGCTTCATCTTTGGCTGTCACTCATCTCAACACGAACATTCAACTGCTGCTGGTGCAGCTGCTTCACGTGCAGCATCTGCACCTCACGTGGGAATTACAATATAGCACATTAAAAAGAAATCTGTTATCCTCTCGCTCAGACCTTGATTGATCAAAATGGTCTTTAATGCTGTGAGAAGCGTTGCCATGGAGACAGGTTGATGGAGGATGGTGATGTGTTATTTTCTACCTATGCATGGGCTGGTTTGTGAGGGTGTGTGGGCGGTTATTGGGGTCAGCTGCCACACAGAGCGAACATGTGTCAATGTGGAAATCAGGTGCAAAAAAGTGATACGAGTCCATGTTGTTCAGTGGGTTTACAAGGAGTGAAAAGCCTTTTTAACCTCTCAGTTGTTTAGCTGAAGGGAGAGGACATCAGATTTTTTCCAAATATTTTACCTCAGCCTGAAACGAATGGATGGTCACTTAATTAGAAGGAAATGGTTACTTTTTCAACAGTGAATTTTATAGGCTTATTCCATCTTTAAATCTTTCAGTGTTGGTTTAAATAGACATACCTCAGTTTTGTTTTTGACTCCATTATTCTGCTGGGGGACTTCAATGCCCATGTGGGAAACGACAGTGACACCTGGAGAGGTGTGATCGGGAGGAATGGCCTCCCTGATCTGAATCCGAGTGGTGTTTTGTTATTGGACCTCTGTGCTAGTCATGGATTGTCCATAATGAACACCATGTTCAAACATAAGGGTGTCCATCAGTGCACTTGGCACCAGGACACCCTAGGCAGGAGGTCAATGATCACCTTTGTTGTCGTATCATCAGACCTTCGGCCGCATGTTTTGGACACTCGGGTGAAGAGAGGGGCTGAGCTGTCCACTGATCACCACCTGGTGGTGAGTTGGA